CCCTTTTCCCTGGGTATAGCTCCTGCTTGGAGCTGGGCAAACCAAGCAGCTCCCAGTGGTTCAGGACACGGGTGAAGGGCTCAAAATCCTGCTTGGGAAAGGAAATCCCAGCTCTGCACAAGCCCCACATCCCAGTAAAACAGGGAGGAAAGTGAGGAAAGCCCAAAAAATGCAGAGATTCACCCAAAGCTTGCCCCACCCTCAGCTTTTGGTGTCGTTTCTTACCAGCCTTGAGGCTTGAACGGTCCCAGTGGATCGCAGTCCTGGCGAGGGGGATTTTTGGGATCAGAGCAGGACTCCAGGGAGCCATGACATGAATCCTGAGCTCCCCGGAAGTTTCTGCAGCTTTTCCACTCCTCCTCCCTGCCCTGTTGCTGCTCCTCCCTGCCCAGACATGTTCGACAAGACGCGGTCGGGGCGCATCGACGTCTACGGCTTCTCCGCCCTGCTGCGCTTCATCCAGCAGTGGAGGAGCCTCTTCCAGCAGTATGACCGGGACCAGTCCGGCTCCATCAGCTTCAGCGAGCTCCAGCAAGGTGGGTGAGGGCCACAACCACCAGCCTGGCCCATCCTGACCCTCCCCATAACCATTGCCAGGCTCTGCTCCCAGCTGGAAACTGGAATTCCTGCTGGAGTGGCTCTGAGCTTGTGGGATGCTCCTTTGGGAATTATCCATGGGATAAACCAGGAGGTTCTCAGGGGAGGAGCTGCAGCAGGGGTGGGGCACAAAGTTCCTTCAGGAAGCTCAGAATTCCCCCTCAACGATGAGTGGCTGGAGCCTGGTTTTTGGGGAGGAGCTCTTGGGTGTGCGTGAAAGGGAAAAATGCCCGGAATTTGTGGTTTGGTTCCTCTGAAGAGCCCTGCCCGTGCACACCCTGAGTGGGAAGGGTGGTGGGAGTGGGAGATGGGGTGTGTGGGGCATGGGGGAGCAGGACACAGCCGCTCCCTCTCCATTTGGGAAGGTTCAATCCGAGTTTTTCCTGCTCCCAGCTTTCTCCCAGATGGGTTACAACCTGAGCCCCCAGTTCAGCCAGCTGCTGCTGGCCCGGTACGCCCAGCGTTCCCCCAATCCCAGTATCCAACTGGACCGGTTCATCCACATCTGCATGCAGCTGCAGAGCCTCACCGACGCCTTCAGGGAGAAGGACACGGCCATGGTGGGGAATGTCCGCCTCAGCTACGAGGATTTCCTCACCATGGTGGTGACACGGATGCTCTGACATCCCCACTCCAAAGGCTGGGAATTCTGGAGCTCTCCAGAACCTTCAGCCATCCTCATCTTCTCTGTTGGATGATGCTGAGCCCATCTGAGAGTTCCCCCCGGGGCCAAATTTCCAGCTTGATCCACCCCAAATCCTGCTGGGGTTTTCCTGGCTTGGATTCCTCGTGTCCATTTTGTGAAACCCACGCCAAACTGGGGCAGCCAAAGCAGCTTAGATCCCGTGCCAGCCCCAGATTCCAGCTCCATCCCGAGGTGCCTGCAGCAGAACATCCTCGTTTTGGGGAGGAAAAGCTGAACCTTGGGTTTGGAAGAAGCAGGAAAGGGGAAAAATGAGGACAAAGCTCCTTCCTTCCCTCCCTGAGTGCCCTGGGAGCGCATCCCACCCTGGGAATGCTTTCCTGGGGGTCTCATCCCTGTTTTCCATGGAGCTGCTGGAATGGGATGTCCTGCTGCAGCCCCATGGGATCGTCCCCTCGCTGTTGCCAATCCTGAAGCCAAACCCAGACAAAGTTCAGAGCTCAGGTTTTCCAGCTTTGGAATAAAACGTGTTCTGCTCCAGCTGCTCCGTGGTCTCTGTGTCCGGGGGGGGCTCCAGGGGACGTCAGGTGCCTCCTGTCCCCTGTGGTGGCACCAGGGGACACGTCCCAGGGCTGGACACCATTCCCTAAAATGAATTCTTACAAGTTTCATGTCCAAATATAGAAAATAAAGAATTTGGGGGAGGCTCCTGAGGCACAGAAAAATCCCATCAATGCCGGAGTTTTCTTCTCGAGTGATGAGCCTGGAATTCACCCTGAGGAATCTCCAAGAGATTTGGAGGAATTCTTAAGGAATAAAAGGTTCAAAGGTCTGAGATGAGCAGGAGGAGCCAGGCTCGGTGTTTTCTGTGTGACCTCGGTGTTTTCCAGCCCCGGGCAGGACTGGCTGTTCCCAACCATCCCCGAGCATTCCAAGGATGTTTTCCCCTGAGCATTTCCAATATTTTTGTTGAGTCAGAGCTCAGCCCTGCTTGGGCTTGAGGCAGAGGGGTTGTAAATACATATAAATATATTTATATGTATATAAAAAATAGAAATATATATTTTATAGATTTTTAAAATACATTTTATATGTGCATGTATGTATTTTTAATATATTTTATATGCTATATATATATAAAATACATATATGTAAAAATATATAAAATACATATAAATATATTTAAAATACATACCTGCATGATATATATTTATATATATTTATAGCTGTATAGGTACATATATATATATACATACTGGTGTACATATATATTTATATAGGTGTGTATACATGCATGTTTTTGTATATAAATACATGTAGAGGCATTTATATATATATACATACATGTACATTTATATAGATACACATAAATATATAAAATTTTTGTATGTTATATATATAGATATGTAAATGTTATTTTTATGTTATTATATAGATATGTAAATATATATAAATGCATGAGTTTATATACATACACGTATATATGCAAATACATAGACACATACATGTTTTATACAATATATAATATAAATTATATATAATGCATATTATCTTTTATATCTTATACATTTTATATTTTATAAGTTATTTTGCATATTTTTCGATTATATTATTTATATATAATTTTTATAATTTATATATATTGTATATATAATTTATATTATATGATATATAATACAAATTATATATAATGTATATTATCTTTTATATCTTATACATTTTATCTTTTCTATTTTATTTTATATGTTATATTTTTCTATTATATTATTTATATTATATATTATATATAATACATGGGTGTGGTTACATGCACATATATACACATATAGAAATATATACAGGATATTTTTATATATATGTGTGTAAAAAATAGATATAAAAATATATATATTTTTGCACACACACACATATATATGCACACATTGAGAGATTTATACTGAGATATATATGGGGAGCTGAACACAAACAGCCACCTGTATGTATGTGTGTATATATATACACAGACATATCTATACACATCTGTATCTCTCTATACATAATAGAAATGTTTTTACATATTTTTAAATTACATAAATATATTCGCACCCATCCTGCAGTTACAGGAAGCCACCACCAGGTGGCACCGCCCTCCACCCTGTGAGTGTCCCCTGCGGGGGGACCCGGGGGTGACAGAAGGAGGGGACACGGACAGGGCCCGCCACCAACGCAGGCCTTTGGGAAAGGCGACAACAGCCCCAACGCCACCCCACGGAGGGCACGGGGGCTGTGGGGACACCGTGGATGTGGTGGCACATCTCATTTTTGTGGCACTTGGGGTGGCACATCTCACTGTGGTGGCACTGGCAGCTGGCATTTGGCCGCCCAGCTGCACGGTGGCTGTGGTGGCAATACCTGGCCGTGGTGGCACAGCCGGGTGCGGTGGCACAGCTGTCCGCGGTGACCCCCTGGCCGTGGTGACATGGGTGGCCGTGGTGGCCCGAGTGGCTGCGCGTGCCCGCGGCGTGGCCAGCGCTGGCCGCGGGGACCGGAGCGGCGGGGCCGGAAGGTGGACAATGAGCGGGGCCTTATCTCACCCCCCCAGCCCTTCCCGAGACCGCGCTGGGCCCCCCAAACGGGGGTGACAGGGGCCACGCGTCCCCCTCGGAGCACTGAGCGCACCCTCCGGGCTCTGAGGCTTCCATAACTTTATTTACAAACAATAAAAAGCAAAATAAATACAAAAAAAATGTCTTAAAAGTACAGCCCTTGGGTTGTGGGGGAGAGAGGGGAGGTCCTGGGCTGTCCTGGCTGCGTGGACCCCACTTGTGCCCCCCCAGGACATGGGGACACCAAGGGGCTGAGCCCTCCCTTGTCCCTGCTGTCCCCCAGGGGGGTGGCAGGGCCATAGCACCATAGGGACGGGCTGGGGGGGACGGTGGGGACCCCATCCTGGCACCACCCAGCCCTGGGGGCTCAGGGGACCCCCTTGTTGGGTTATTTCACCCCCAAACTCCAGCGCTGCCCTGCTGGGGGGGGGAGCTGCTGGGGCCAGGACGGGAGGGACAGGAATTTCCATTGGGAAAAGGAGGAGAAATCCCACAGCCGGGATTTTGGGGGGGGTGCAGCTGCCTTTGAAGAGCCCCCCGGCGCCACCGCAGCCCAGCCGAGCCCCGGGGCAGGGGGGATTAGCGGGTAAATCCCATGGGAGACGGGAGCAGCCCCCGGAGCATCCCCCTAGCACGCCCCACTGCCCCCAGCCGCTGTGTCAGCACGGCGGGGACACGCAGCCCCCTCCAGGGGACACGGGGACAGCGCCAGCCCCTTCCATGGGACACAGGGACAGCGCCAGCCCCCTCCAGGGGACAATGCCAGCCCCCTCCAGGGGACACAGGGGACAATGCCAGCCCCCTTCAGGGGACAGGGGACAGCGCCAGCCCCCTCCAGGGGACACAGGGGACAATGCCAGCCCCCTCCAGGACACAGGGGACAGCGCCAGCCCCCTCCAGGGGACACAGGGGACAGCGCCAGTCCCCTGCCCAGTGTGCTGTGAGCTGGGTGGGACCGCGCTGGGGACATTGGGGACATCGGGGGGCTCACTTGTGGGGCATGTCCTCCATGCTGTCCTCCAGGGGACACGGGGGACAGCGCCAGCCCCCTCCAGGGGACAGAGGGGACACGGGGGACAGCGCCAGCCCCCTGCCACTGGACACAGGGGACAGCACCTTGCCCACCGTGCTGTGAGCTGGGCAGGGCCGCGCTGGGGACAGGGACATCGGGGACATCGCGGGGCTCACTTGTGGGGCATGTCCTCCATGCTGACGCGGCCCCAAACCCCCACCACGAAGGTCTCCACCTCGCACTCGTTGACGCCGCGGGCGATGCGAAAGTGGCCGCCCTCGCCCCACGCCGTGCCCCATGAGTTGGCCGCCGTCTGCAGAGGGGACAGGGGACACGCTCAGGGCGGTGACACCCCCAAAAAAGCCAAGCTGGACCCCACATGGGTGCGGGGAATGGCAACACCCCATGGCTCAGTCCCCCACCCCAAACTCACCCAGTATTTTTGGGTCTGGCCATCAGGCAGCTGCTCCTCTCCCCACCTGCAGAGGGACAGGACAGTGAGGGGGGGTCCCCAAGCACGTCCAGACTTTGGGGTCCCCAACCACCCCCAGACTTTGATGTCCCCAAGCTCTCTGAGACTGTGGTGTCCCCAAGCACCTCCAGAATGTGGGGTTCCCCCAAGCTCCCCCAGACTTTGGGGTCCCCAAGCCCCCTCAGACCATGGGGTCCCCCCACCCAGCCCCTTGGTGGGATTGGGGCACGGGGGGGGCTGACTCTGCTCATTTCCTGCCCCCGGCACCTCCCCAGGACCATCCGAGGTTGGGACGTCCGCTCCAGGAATAGGGGCAGGAATATTTAGCCACGGCAGGAGGAAGGAAACACGGACACAGAGCAGATCCATCCATGGGGTGGAACACCATGGGATGGGAATCAATAGGATGGGATGGGGTGGGATGGGACAGGATGGAATAGGGTAGGGTGTTTTGGGACAAGATGAAATGGGAATGGAAGAGAATTGGATGGGGTGCAACACGAAGGAGGGGGGATGGGATGGGATGGGATGGGATGGGATGGGATGGCTCACCCCTCTGTGAGCCCCCCCAGGCCACCCCCAGACGTACCCCGTGATTTTCACCGAGTGGGTCCCGTGCCTCTGGTGCTTGGCCCCCTTCTCCTTGGCCACGGGTGTGTGCCGATAGATCCCGCTCTTGTACATGAAGAAATCCTCGTGCACCTCCAGGATGGCTGTGGGGATGGCCAGAGGGTTTGGGGACGCTGCCACTGTCCCGAGGGAAGGGATGTGTCTCCCCATGGGTGGGAATATGGGCACAGAAGGGTACAGGGCATGGAATTCCAAACAGCAGCTGGAGCCTCCCCGGGGCAATGCAACAACACTCCCAGGAGGTTTCAAAAAGCGCAAATAAAGTTAAACAAACGCAGCTGCCAAGGCGGTGATTAAATCTCAGGAGTTAATGAGCAACCCGGTGCCCGCTGGGGTGGGCAGCGTGACGGGCACTGGGGCAGCACTGCCTGGGCACGCAGGAGGAGAAACTGAGGGAGTTCTGGCTGCCACCACAGCTCCCACAGCATGGACAGAGAGGTTTCCTCCCCTATTTTGTTCCCCCAACCTTTTGGGGTGCACAGAGGGCCAGCTCCATACCTTGCACGGGGCCGTTCTCCATGAGCTCCTTCATGATCTCCTTCTCCTGCAAGCACAGAACAGGGTGGCACAGGCTGGCACAGGGTGGCAGCAAGGCCAGGACCCCCAGCCCTGCCCTCCCACCCCGGGGATGCAGCAGAGCAGCTCCAGCACCCACGGGCGGCCGCTGCGGAGGAGCCGCTCCCCAGTGGGGTTTTCCCAGCCGCATTCCCAAGCTCGGTTTTCCCAGGTGAAGCAGCCCCGGCCAAGCCCGTTCCCGCTCCCCGCTCCGCCCGCGGGCCCGGCGCTCACGCTGGAGGAGAGGCGGTAGGCGGGCGTGGACTGGTAGATGTCGTTGGCGTGGCTCCGGGGGTTGGGGCAGCGCGCTGTCGCCTGTCGCTTGCCCCGGCCCGTGGAGCGGCTGTGCATCATGCAGGGCGGCGCCGCGGGCTGGCTCTGCTGGCTCGTGAACGGGTAGCACTCGTCTGTCACCACGCTGGGATGCGGGAGGGGAAGGAATGGCTCCATTCTCATCCCAAATCCCACTGCCATCCCCATCCCAAATGGAACTTCCTGCTCCATCTCAATCCCATCCTTGTAGTGAACCTACTCTCCATCCTCGCACCAAATCCCTCTTCCATTCCCATCCCAAAACCCACTCATCCTCATCCCAATCCCCACTTCCATCTACACCCCAAACACCACTCCCATCTCCACTCTGATCCCATTCCCATCCCAATCCCAAACCCCATTGTCCATCCCTGTCCCAAACACCAATTTCCATCCTGATCCCAAACCCCAATGTCCATTCTGCCCTCATTCCCCAGCTGTCCAAGGCACAGGTCAACACAGGGATCTCCTGGGCTCTCCCCAGGTGACCAGAGCCCCAAACCTCCTTTATCCCAGAGCAGGCCCTGTCCTCCATCCCATCCCATCCCATCCCATCCCATCCCATCCCATCCCATCCCATCCCATCGTGTTCCATTCCCATTTCATCTTGTCCCATATTGTCCTGTCCCATCCTACTCCCTTCCCATCTCATCCCACATTTTTTTTATCCCATCCTATCCCATTCCATCCTGTTTGATGCCATCCCCTCCTGTCCCATCCCATTCCCCTCCCATCCTGTACCATCCCCTCTTATTCTCTCCTATTGCCATCTTATCCCATCCTATCCCATTCCAATTCCATCATGTTCCACCCCATCCAGTTCTCTTCCATTCCCATTTCATCTTGTCCCATATCGTCCTGTCCCATCCCACCTGTCCCTGTCCCATTCCCATCCCATTATCCCATTACCCCACTGTCCCACTCACCCCCTCCTGCGCAGGTACCACCAGGCTCCGTCCAGGCGCCCCCCGCTGCAGCCACGCTGGTTTCGGGTGTCACAGGACAGGAGGTTTTGGGGCGACAGCGCGGGGGTCATGTGGCCCATGGAGTGGATGGAGATGCGGTCCGAGGCCACGGCTGGGGACGAGCGGCGGGTCAGGGGGAGGCGGTCCTGTCCCTGTCCCCGCTGTCCCCACAGGTCATGGGGACGTGGCTCCGTCCCTGTCCCCGCAGGTCAAGGGGAGGTGGCTCCGTCCCCGTTGTCCCCGCTGTCCCCACCCCTCACCAGCCGTGGAGAAGGCCCAGGAGCCGGCGCAGTTCCCCTGGTCCAGGGGCTCGTGGATCATCCCGGGCCACTTCTCGGCGGCATCGAAGTGGCGCGGCAGCACCTCGTTGGAGTCCATGTTCATCTGCGGGGCAGAGATGGGGGGGCTCAGCCCAGCGGGACCCCCACAGCTCCTCCTGCCACCCTAACCATCCTCTGAGATGGTCCCCAGTGAGCTCGAGTGTCCCCAGCCCCACTATGGGACCCCCATAGCTCCCCCTGCCATCCTAGCCATCCTTTGAGGATCCTCAGTGAGCTTTAGTGTCCCCAGCCTCACTATGGGACTCTCAGAGCTCTTCCTGCAATCCCAACCATCCTTTGCAATGGTCCCCAGTGAGCTTTAGTGTCCCCAGCCCCACTATGGGACCCCCATAGCTCTTTCTGCCATCCCAACCATCCTTTGAAGGTCCTCAGTGAGCTTTAGTGTCCCCAGCCCCACTGTGGGACCCCTCAGGTCAGGGACATCACCCTGAGAGACAAAGATTTGGTTTCCCCTTTATCCCAGAAATGCCAAACCCCTCAGTTTCCCCTAAATTTGGGCTCCACAGCCCCAGCACCTCCTTAGAGCACACCAGCACTGAGTGTCCCATCTCAGAGCCCAGCAAGGCTCTTGGTGGCGCCCCGAGGGGACAGCCCAGGGTGACACAGCCCCTCAGGGTGGCCTCTGGCCCTGCCTTTCCTCCCTGGAGCAGGACAGTGTCCCCGCCCTGGCCTTCCTGGGGAGGACATGGCCACAATCGCCCGCAGGAAACGCCTCTAAAATTAAACCTGGGGCTGGGGGGTGCACCAAGCGCTGCTGTCGCAGACATCTTTTCATGAAAAATCCTTTCCTGGGGATTTTTTTCCTCCTGAGAAGCTGAGAGGCCTCGGGGACAAACAGCAAACATTGATTATCTGCTGCTGTGGAATGCAACAGGTGCATCTGTGATTGTTCTCATGTGGTTGTTTCTAATTAATGGCCAATCACAGCACAAACTGTCCGGCCCGCAAACCTTTGTTATTCATTCTTTTCTATTCTATTCTTAGCCAGCCTTCTGAGACGAAACCTTTTCTTCTATTCTTTTAGTATAGATTTAATGTAATATATATCATGAAATAATAAATCAAGGCTTCTGAAACACGGAGTCAAATCCTCATCTCTTCCCTCACCCAAAGACCCCTGTGACCACCGTCACACCCTGCCAGCCCCTCAGGGACCCCCGGGGGGTGCCCAAGCCCGGGTTTGGGTGCAGGGAGAAGCAAAGAGAGGCAGCTCTGCTGAGTCAGCAGCGTCGGGCTCTGCGTTCCGATGGGAAACCAGCGCGGAGGAGAGGGGGAAAAAACAACACTGGCAGCGCGCGGATTGTCCGGGGGAATTTGCTGAGCCGCTGTCTCCAAACACGAGGGCTGCCCTGCCTGCCCCCTGCTCTGGGAGCCCCTTCCCAGCCATGGCCGTGCCTCAGTTTCCCTCCCCGCGGGCACTCACGTGCATCTCGTTCATGTTCATGACGGTGGCAGAGGGACGGAAGGTGCCCAGGCGGTGCCGGATCCCGTCCTCCAGGGTCATCCCCCAGAACTGGCTGTAGTTGGTGGCTCTCCAGCTGCGTGGGGAGAGGGGGGCACGGCTCAGGGGTCACCCCGAAAAGCAGCGAGGGGTGCAGCATCCCTGTGCCCGGTCCTTACCCGTAATTGCCCCTGTTGATGGCATCGATGAGCTCCCCATCCATCAGGCAGGCGTGGTCCTCGCACTGCCACTGCCCGCCGGGCCCGCAGGTGCTGCAGGGGGGACAACAGGTGAGAAACGATGTCCCCAGGGTGACCAGGGGGGCACTGAGTGGGTGCTGCCACTCCCAAACTGGCGACTTTTGTTAGGTGTCACCAGAGCTTGGCACCTTGCAGTGGGGTGAATCCATGGGCAGCCCTCTGGGTGACCCCGAGTGGCCTCTGGGTGACCCTGGGAGTTGTCCCCCCCCTGCCCCAGCCCCCACAAAAGCCCCGAGGGCAGCCAGGCCATGGGACAGAAAATCATCTGAAAAGCTGCCAGGGCTGCAGACATCAGAGAGGGGCTTGGACAGCAGCCCGGGGCTGGGGGTCAGGGCTGGGTGTCCCCACGGGTGACCCACAAGTGACCAGGGCACTCCATGGGGACAGCTGGGCCAAGGGGGGGGTTCTGGGGGTGTGGTGGGTCCCCTGGGGAGCCCCGGGCTGTGCTCCCCCCGTGCAGTGAGCAATGCTTGGCATGCTCAGATCCCGGCACATTTCCCTTTTATGGAGCTGAGCGAGGCTGTGGCCGTGTCCTGCCAGACACCCCCATCCCGATCCTGGCCGGCAGCACCTGGATTCCAGCCTCGCCCCATCCATCCCTGAGCGATCCTGGAGCTCTGTGTGACACCTGGGGGCTTGGGAGCACCTCAGAGTGCCACACACACCTTGTGTCACCCCGCCGTGGGTTTTGTCCCCTGGTACTCCCCCAGCAGGACCCCAACAGGGACAGGGGTGGAAGTGACACTGCAGAAATTCCTTTTCTCTAGGGACTAAGTGTGGGGCAGGAGGGTTTGGAAGGGAAGAGACGGGTCAGAGATGCTCGCCCACAGTAGAGAGGTGACATCCACCTGTGTGGCTTGGGGACATTGACATTCCCAGGGGAACGGGGACACCCTCCATCCCTGATTGCTCCGTGCCACGATCCTGGATAAACTTCCCAGAGCTGTGGGGAGGCTCGGGCTGGCTTTTCACCTGCAGCCCTGGTGCTCTGTGTGACACCTGGGGACTTGGGAGCACCTCAGGGTGCCGCCAGATGGGTGCCCCATACACCCTGTGTCACCCCGCCATGGGTTTTGTCCCCTGGTACCCCACAATGGGACTACACCAGGGGCAGGGGTGGAAGTGACACTGCAGAAATTTCTGTTCTCTAGGGAGCAAGTGTGGGGGAGAGGGTTTGGAAGGGTTTGGAAGGGTTTGGAAGGGAAGAGATGGGTCAGAGATGCTCCCCCAGCAGCAGAGAGGTGACATCCACCTGCGTGGCTTGGGGACATTGACATTCCCAGGGGAACGGGGACAACCTCCATCCCTGAGTGCTCCGTGCCACCATCCTGGATAAACTCCCCAGAGCTGTGGGGAGGCTCGCGCTGGCTTTTCACCTGCAGCCCCGGCGCTCACACATGTTCCCACACGTGCCCCTGCCCTGCACACGCCCCAGACGCTGCCTTTGATTTCCCCTTATCTGCAGCATCGCCCCTCGGGCGGGCTGCAATCCTCGTCTCCAATCCCCCACCTCCGCATGCCAGCAATACCAGTACAGAACACCAGTACTCCCAGTTAACCCCGAGCTCCGGGAGTGCCCAGCAGCACAGAACCCCCATCAGGCTTGGGCAAGCTGGGCTGGGACCAGCGTGGCCAAAACGCCCCTGGGCAGCGCCGGCTCCCACACAGGCACGAACTGAAACTTGGGAGAGGCTCAAGGCCCTTTTTGGCTCCGGATTTTTGTTGGAGCAAAGGCATTTTGGCAGCAGCTCCCACCACCCAGCTCGGGCCTCGCTCTCTGAGGTTTACAGGAGCGTGACACCTTCCTCTGGTGACATGCTGGTGACATGCCACAGGTGCCCACACTCACCACAGGTTGCAGTTCTCCCGGTACGTGGCTCCTGTGGGGTAATTGTGTCCAGCACGGGCACAGCCTGTATGGGAAAGGGAGAGCTCCTGGTGAATATTTGGGGTCCCACCAGGCCCCCAAATTCCCGGGGGGGGGGGCGCAAACCAAAGGGAAAATCAACACTGTTCTTAAATCCAGGCTGCACGTGGGGGTCAGTGGGTGCAGGGTGGGAGCCTGGCTCGGCGCAGGGAGGGTTAAATGTGCTCAGCCTGGCGGGACAGGGATAAAGGGGCCGGTTGTGCCCGGGAGCTGGCTCTGCTCCGCTGCTGGGACTTGTGAGAGAGCCTTGTGCTGGGAGCTGGGGGCTGCCCGCAGGGTTAAACCAGGGCCAGCATCTGCCTGCCCCAGACGTGACCGGGCAAGCTGGGATGGCGTCCCCTCATGTCCCCTCGCGTCCCTGCTCTTCCTGCAGGCGCTGATGGGAACGGGCTCTGGGGTCATGGGCTGCTCCCACACCTCTTTTTTGAGGAAATCCATCCCCATCCTGGACATTCTGTAGCAATTCCTAAAATTTTGAGGAGTCTGAGCAGCTCTGCAGTGAGGGCAGCACCACATCCATCACCCCAGGGCTGAACCCCAGCACCCGCAGCCTCACCTGGGGCTTTGGGGAAGGGCGCCGGGATTCCCAGGCAGTATTCCCAGAAGTCGGGGCAGCAGTCGGACACGGTGCGGTTGCAGAAGAGGTCGCAGTAGCACAGCGTGTCGTGGTAGGGCACGGTGCAGCCGTCGTCGCGGCCGTGGCAGCACACGTCCCCTCGCTGGCAGTAGGAGCCGCCCGCGTCGTAGACGCCGTGCTGGTACAGACCGGGGCCCAGCTCCCGGCGGGTGCGGACCCGCGAGGACACGGCCACCCGCGCCACCAGGGCCACCAGCCAGAGGCACAGCACGGCCCGCATGTCCCCGGCCATGCCCCCGCACCTGCGGAGGGACGGCGGTGAGGGCACGGCGGGGTGGGCGCTGCTCCCACTGAGGGCACCGCGGGGTGGGCGCTGCTCCCACCCTGCCCTCTCCAGGTTCTGCTCCCACCCCAGGCTCCGCTCCCACCCTGCTTTCCCCAAGTTCTGCTCTCACCCTGCCCTCTGAGGGTTCTGTTCCCACTCTGCCCTCCCCAAGCTCTGCTCTCACCCTGCCCTCCCCAGATTCTGCTCCCACCCTGCCCTCCCCGGGCTCCTCAGTGCATTCCGGTTTTGTAACTCCCCTTGTGACCGCGCAGCTCAAGCTTCAAAACATCATTTTCCCCCCGGCTCCGCACATCCTGGCCTCGGAGGGGCCCCGTGGCCCTTCACCCCTTCACCACCGGCTCCAAAACCAAACCCTCAGGAGAAAGGGCTCCCCGGGACACTCGGGGGCTGCTCGGAGTCCATTCCCAACGCCACCCGCAGTCCCCACCGCGGGCAGTGCCAGGAGCTGCCAGGCTCAGCCCGCTGGGTTTGGGAGGTGATGGGGACCCCAAAAGGAGCAGGTGGGGACAATCCGGGGGCACACGGGGAGGGGTCCCCTCCTGCCGCCTCCCTCCCGCGGTCATGCGGCGAGGAGACCCCCGGGACCCCCATAAAGCGGGGAGGGTGACCCAAAAACCACGGGGACCCCAAGGGTGGGACCCTTCCCCATTCCTGGCCGTACCTGCTGCGCAGAAACCCCGCGAAAGGAGCGGACGGTCCGGTGCTGGGATCCCTCACGGAACTCATGGGGCGGGACCCCCTTCTCTCCCCCTGCCTGGCACCCCCCCAGCCCCACCCGCTCCCCCCGGAGCCCGTTCCGTACCTGCCGCTCCCGCCGCTCCGCCGCCCCGCGCCCGCCGCCGGCCCCGCCGCTCCCTTATAGCCGCGCCCCGGCCGGGGGGGCGCGGGGAGGCGCCGACACAGCCGCGACCGGCCCGGGGCGGAGCGCGGCGGGGCGGGGGTCGGGCCTGGGGCTGCAGAGAGGAGCCCCCAGCTTGTGGCCCGCTCTGTCCCCTCGGTATCCCCGGCTCCTGATCCCTTCCTGGGGTCCCTCTGCGCTGCCCTCGCCAAATGGGGGGTCCCGGCTATGGGGGCAGCACCCTCTGCCCCATGTACATCCTGGGGGGCTTCCCCATTGCCCAGGTGTGCGGAGAGGAGGGGAGGGGGCTGCATTCCTGCCCATTCCAGGGGTCCAGATGAGACAGGGACACCCCAGAGCACGGAGCTGGTGTCTCTTGGATCCAGCCCGGCTGTCAGCGCCCAGCCTCTCCCTCAGGGACCACAACAGGGGGGTCTTGGCCGCCCCCCAGGCTCCAGCACCTGCTGCGGGAGCTCGGCCGCCCACGCGGGGCTCCCGCTGTCCCCGCCCGGCCGGGAGCATCTCCAAAGGATTCCTCGAGGGTGGCTCACGGCAGCCAGCACGGGAGCACCGCGGGGTTCCCTGGGCGGCCACGGGATCCTGGCTGAGCCCACGGGGGGAATGCCGCGGCCAGGGTGGGCTTCATGCCGGGGAAACGGGGAACACCAAATCCCGCCGGGCACGGGGGCTGCCGGCACCCAAGGGTGCTCTGGGCGCCTGAACCAGGGTCCTGTGCAGCCCCCCGGGCAGGGAGCCCCTGCTTCAAGCGCTCTTGGAAGGGCCTTTCCTGTGAGCGCGTCCTTGGGCAGCGCAGGCAACGCGGAGCTGGAGCGTCGCAGGAAGGAACTGAGTCCAGCCCAGTCCGTCTCCAGCATGACTGGACTCGCAGAAATCCGCAGTGAGTCACGAATTCCCCCAAGACCCCCGGAGAACAAAGCAAAGCCACTGGCACAAAGGACATCCCCGGCCTCTGCTCTGTGTCCTTGTGCCCCCGCCAGCTCCCTGACAGCTCAGAGACGCCGCGGGAGCAGCTGAGCGTTCCCGTAAACAGCGCTGTCCCCCTGCCAGCTGATAAGAAAGCGGCGCAGCGCGGAGGCGGCAGCGGCCACAGGCCAAGTGTTGAAGCATCCCCTCACCCCGTTCCTGCGGCTCCGGCGGGACGCGGCCGGCGGGCCCTGCCAGCTCACAGCTCCGTCTCTGTGTCCCTCTGCGTGCGTGTGTCCCCTCGGCGGGGAGTGGCAGCCTGGGCACACGTGGGGTAACCAAGGTGGAGGGGGACAAAGTCCTGCCAGGGCACTTTGTGTGCCCGTGTGAGGGCGGGAGGCAGAGCCCAGGGCTGGCACACGGCCCCTGCCCTGCCTGTGCCACCGGGGGAGGGACAAGTGCCAGCACCCTGTCCCCACTGCCCAGAGACACGGGGAGACCTCAACCCACGGCTGGGTTGGCCCTGGATGCCCCTTGAACACAGCCGGGTTCTGTCGAGCTGAGTGAGGGGTGAAGATCCCACACTGCAGGGATGAATCCCTCCAAACCCACCCAGGAAAGCCGCCCACCCCTCTGATGCGTGGTCCAGTGCCCCCCAAAGCCAGCCCCCCACTGATCGCACCCCTCACATTGCGCACTGAGCAGAACTGGGGTGCTGGAGCCCCCCCGAGCCCCCATCCCCAGCTCTGGGGGCGCCGCCCCAGCAGGGCTCGGCCCCGAGGCGATCCTGGAGAGAATTTCTTGGCAGGAGCCGGCCAGGAAAGGCAGGGACGGAGCCGCGGCCGGCCCCGGTTTCCTCTCCGGCCAGCGGCACGGGAAGGAGCCGCCTTAGCCCCGGCATCGCTGCAGGACGCGCTGTCCCCCGGGGGTGACAGCTCACTGCCAGGGGTGAAGCTTTGCTGTCCCCACAGGGGTCTGGGGGCTCCTGGGGAAGGGGGGCGCACCTTCGCCTCATTGGGATGGCATTGGGGACATCGCCATTTGGGAGGGGACACATCAAACAGGCAGGGGGGGCACAGCCCTTCCCAGGGCAGCGACACATCACTGTAAGGTGACAAAAATCAGAGCATGGGTCCTTCTGCAGTGACACCAACCCTGCACCCCTGCACGGACAGGAGGGAGATGGAGCTGAGCTCTCAGTCCCATCTCGGTGGCTTTCTGCAGCTCAAGGGGTCAGGGAGGTGTCCGGAAATTTGTGTCCCCTGCCGGTCATTTGTGTCCCCTGCCAGTCATTTGTGTCCCCTGCTGGACATTTATGTCCCCTGCTGGACATTTTTGTCCCTGACAGACATTTGTGTCCCCTGGTGGACATTCGTGTTCCCTGCTGGACATTTGTGTTGTGTCCCCGTCCGGACATTTGTGTCCCCTACTGGTCATTCGTGTCCCCTGCTGGACATTCATGTCCCCTGCTGGACATTTGTGTCCCCTACTGGTCATTCGTATCCCCTGCTGGTCATTTGTGTCCCCGTCAGGTCATTTGTGTCCCCTCCCGGTCATTTGTGTCCCTGGCCGGACATTTGTGTCCCCGTCAGGTCATTTGTGTCATGTCCCCACCCGGTCATTTGTGTCCCCTGTCCGCAGCTCGGTGGCAGGGCCGCAGTGCCACCTCTTGGGAGACAGACAGCAGCAGGCGGGCAGCCTCTACTCCAAATTTTAATGAAACAAATAAATTAATAAGTTAATCAAGTGAGGTAACTACCGCTGGCTCTGGGGGGCTCTGCGGGGACCAGCCAGCCCGGGCAGGGGGGTTCTAAAGGGTTAAAATTCCTGCAATTCCTGCAAAGCTGTCACATGCACCTCGCCCAGCGCTGTGCCCCGGTGTGGCACCGCCCGGGCACCCCCGGGATTTGGGGGTTCGAGCAGCCCTGGCACGGCCTGCGCTGGCCACATGCACTGATGGGAGAGGGGACGAGCAGGGTCGGGGGTCCCCAGTGCCCGGAGCAGAGAACCTGGAGCGAACCCCACTGTGCCAAACCAGAGAGGGGGAGCGGTGGGAGCAGCCCAGGGCAGATCCTGGCACTGTGGGGTGACCACCGAGCCCTCCTGGTGGCGCTTTGGCACAGCCCCAGCGTTGGGACTGGGACAGCGCGGGGCTGTGGTGGCTCTGCTGTAGGTGACATGCAAGGACACCACCCTGTGGCAGGTCCCCTCCAGGCCCGGCCCGTGCTGCCCAGACAGGGACAGGGACAAACTGAGCACCGCGGGACCCAGCCGGGAGGGAATCCGCTAAGCAGGAGCAGGGGCTGGGACACTCCTTGGGGACAGCGCTGTCCCCTGCTCAGCTTCCTGGCTCCAGGGCTACCCTGGGGTGGAGATTTCCCCCTTCCCTGAGCTCTCAGGGCCTCCAGGGCAGCACAGTCCAGCCCTGGGAGCTGGCAGGGGGTTGTTGCTTATTGCCTATGGCCCCTCGGGTTGCTCTTCCCAGGGGTGTTGCATATTAAGACATTATTGCATAAATATAAATATATATATATATAATCTATATATATATTGCCCTGGGAGCATGCACGGGCAGGCAGAAGGCTCTGCTGTGCTTCTGGAGAGGTGCAGCCTGGGCAGGGGGGGACAGTCCCCTGCTCCCCACACTGGGGACCCCCAGTGACACGGGTAAAACCACCCTGGGTCGTGCCCCCACACCCCTGCACTGGCGGCAAGAGGGAGATGGGGCCTTGCATAGCTGGTGGTGGCCCCGGCTCAGCTCTGGGGGACCAGGCAGGACCTGTCCTGAGGGCTGGGGATGGGCTTCAAACCAAACCCCAGGGGATGGGGCCAGCCCTGAGCATCCCCACCATGGCTGGGGAGGGCCCAGGACCCCAGATCTGGGTGGGGGGTGTCATCCTACAGGAAGCCAGGAACATCCCAGAAGCATCCCAGGAACATCCCAGGAGCAACCCAGGAACATCCCCAGGAATGTCCCCAGGAATGTCCCAGGAATGTCCCAGGAACGTCCCCAGGAATGTCCCAGGAGCATCCCCAGGAGCATCCCAGGAATGTCCCAGGAACATCCCAGAAACATTTCAGAAACATCCCCAGAAACATCCCCAGGAGCACCTCAGGAATATCCCCAGGAGAACCCCAGGAACATCTCAAGAACGTCCCAGGAGCCTGGGCTGGCCATGCCCCAGCGCCACAGGCACCCTGCTGCAGCCGTGTCCCCGCAGAGGAAGACTCGGTTCAAGTAACACCGCGAGGGGACAGCGAGGGGACAGCGAGGTGACAACACCTCGCCGTCCTCATCACCCCAGGTCCGTCCCGCCGTCTCCTGCTCAGTCCATGTTGGCGCTGGCCGACCTGGAGCTGCTGAGGGTCTGCGCGGACGCCGAGATGTCCTCGTGCTCCGCGGGGCTGTGATAGTCCGAGGTGACGTCGGGCTCGCCGGGAGGCGCCCGCACCGCGGCCAGGCTGAAGGAGTTGCTGGAGCCCTTGCGCAGGCACTGCGAGTAGAGGCCGAGCAGCAGGTCCAGCTTGTGCTCGATGGATTGCACCTGCAGGGATGAGGATGGAGGCAGTTATGGCTAGGATGCCTCCTGGTTCATTTGGAATTGTTACCTTGGTTTTTTAAGATTTTCTAAGCCTCGTGATGTTGACATTCTTGGAGTGGATTTTCTCACACACTTTCTGTGAATAACTCTTTGTTTTGCATTGCTTTATAGAGGAGGAGAAAGTTGATGGGCTGTTGGTTTGTCCAGTGTCATTGGAGAGGTGGCGCTGTCACCCTCCAATCCACTGTCACTATAAATGTTGGAGTCAGAAAATAAACTTCCCTCCTTCTTCACCTTGAGAACAGCGGTGTGAGCTCGTGTTCTTTCATGTCCTTTAGCGACAGGAAAGGATTGAAGGATGGCAAATAGGAAGAATCATTCAGTTTGATGTGTGGAGGAGTGACTAATGGGTTAGGTGGTGTTAAAGTTTTCTGGGTCACCCAAGAGGTTGGGGGAGAATAGGGCTGGGGAGACAAGTAGGGAGAGTATCAATACGAACCCTAGGATGTCTTTAATGGTGTAGTATGGGTGGAAGAGGATTTTGTCGCAGTCTGAGGGGGTTATTTGAGCCTGTTTCGTGGAGGAAGGTGAGATGGACGAGTGTGAGGCCTACGATGATGAATGGGAGGAGGGAATGAAGGGCAAAGAATCGAGTTAGTGTAGGGTTGTCGACAGAGAACCCACCTCAGGCTCATTCGACTAGTGTTTGTCCAATGTAAGGGATGGCTGAGAATTACAGCAGCCCCTCAGTAACCCCCAGCTCAGCCGGGCCCACCCCCACGGGAGGCTCAGCTCTCCCTCCCAAGGGACGGTGACACTGCTGGGTGTCCCCTCCTGACCTGCCGCTCCACTTTGACCACGCGCCCCATCATGCTGAGCTCGTCCACCAGCTCCGCCTCCAGCGCCGGCTTCTCGCCCTTCTCCCGAACCTTCTTGTCTGCCGGGAGTGCCCGGTCCCTGCCCACGATCTGGTCCACGCTGGCAGGGAGGGAAGGAAGAGGCAGAGCGCATCCATCACTCCCGAGGGCTCAGGACTCCACCAGGGAATGCCCCAAGGTCACCTGCAGGGCCCCTCACCGCGTCTGCAGGCTCTTGATCCTGCCCAGCATGTCCAGGTGTCCGGCCGAGTACTGCTCGATGACGTCCTTGACATCGTAGGGACGCAAGGTCTCCTTGAACTTCCTCTTGGCCACCAGGAACTTCAGGATCCTGCAGGGACAGCGGGGCTGGAGGCACGGACAGGGTGCCCAGGTTGGGGGGCTCTGTGCACAATGGGGGACATGGGAGGGGACAGCCTCACCTGACAGCCCGGATCAGGGTCTTCACTGCCGGCATGATGTCCTCGAAGGTCAGCTCGCAGGGGGAGCTCCTCTCCTCACCACTGTCCTCTGGTGGGCAGTCGGCTGTGGGTGACAAGAGGGGGTGGATGGCAGAGCCCCAGGGCTGTCCCCAACCCTGCAGCCCCCCAGTGTCCCCCAGGGGCCCACTGTTGAAGATTGCAATGCAAGATGTTTTCTATTACCATCTGTATGGCAGATGACCTTTGTCAAGTGGGCAGTTTGCTTTCTCTCTCTCTTTGAGTGACCACAATCACTCCTCCCTGGGAGGGGACATCTGCTGATAACAGCTATTGAATGTCCCTGCATGGCTGATAAGAACTGCAGCATCCCATTGGGAGATGCTCCGCCCAGAGGGTGGAGCCAAGAATTCCTACCTGGATATAATCTGAGATTTCAAACATTCCTTCCTGGATAAAATCTGGAGATTTCAAACATTTCCACCCAGATATAATCTGGAGATTTCAAACATTCCCACCTGGATATAATCTGGAGATTACAAACATTCCTACCCGGATATAATCTGGAGATTCTGGAACACCAGCACGGCTTCTGCACTGGATTGCCCAGAGGAACAGCAGCTGCCTCTGCCCCTGGATCTTCAGAGGCAGAGACTGCACCTTTCTCCAGGATCCCTGCTCCAGCAGAACCAGCCCTGACACTGCAGGAGGGCTGAGCCACAACTCCAATGGGACTGCTGCCAACAGCCTGACCCACAGGGTGTCAGGTTGGGTTCTGACTCTGTCAGTGTTGTTCTACTGTACTGCATTGTTTATTTTATCCTTTTATTATTTTCTTTTCCCTATTAAAGAACTGTTATTTCCTGCTCCCATATACTTTTTGCCTGAGAGCCCCTTAATTTAAAATTTATAGCAATTGGGAGGGTTTACATTCTCCATTTCAGGGGAGGCTCCTGCCTTCCTTAGCAGCCTCCTTTTCCCAAACCAAGACACTCACCCTCAGTGGGTGTCCGCGGTTTGAGCCTCAGCGATGCTCGGAACCTCGTGCGGTCATTGAAGCTCCAGCTTTTCTGCACCTTGCTGGGGCTGGAGGCTTCGGCCACGTCCTCGGGGCTGGGGGAGCGGTGCAGGGGCGGCCCCAGGTGCTGCTGCTGCTGCTGGCGGCCGCGGCTGCCCTGGCGCTGAGAGCTGCTCAGCCGCATCCGCTCCTTGATGCCCATCCTATTGCTGCGTGGGGACAGCGGCGTCAGGGCCATGGGGACGGGGACAGGGACCCTGTTTGAGGTGGGGGTGGCCGTGCTGAGCTCACAGAGAGCCCCTGAAAGGTGATGGGCATGAACCAGGCCAGGTTCCTGCTGGGCAGGTCTGGGGTTTTTTCTTTAAATCCCATTTTTTTGGTCCCAAGAGCAGAGAAAAGAGGTGACAGACAGGGGGAGAGGGGACAGATGGATGTGGCAGCAGGGGACACGCGGCAGAGCCACCACTGAGCTGAGCAGAGCTCTGCTCCTGCTCCATCCCTCCAAACCCAGCCAAGCTGCTTCATCCTCCTCCTCCTCCTCCAGGCTCTGCTCCTGCCCTACCGTGAGCTCTGCTCCCAAACCCAGCTGCAGTTTTGGGCTGGGGGGAAACACCAGGCAATGTTTATGCAGGACCTACTCAAACCCCCAGATTTAACATGATGAGAGACCCCAAACGCAGCTCAAGGGGATGCACGGGGAAGGACCCTAAAGGTGGGGAGGGTACAATCCCACACCCTCTGTAGGACAGGATCCATGAAACCAAGAGGTTTGGGGATGGTCCTGGCAGTGATACAGGCAGGGTCCTGGCAGGGATCTAGGCAAGGTCCTGGCAGGGAAACATGCAGGGAAACATGCAGGGACAGAGGCAGGGATAGAGGCAGAGATACAGGCAGAGATACAGGCAGGGTCCTGGCAGGGATACAGGCAGGGTCCTGGCAGGGACACAAGCAGAGAACAGGCAGGGATACAAGCAGGGTCATGGCAGGGATACAGGCAAGGTCCTGGCAGGGCACAGGGCTCCCAGCCCTTCCCCGTGCTGGCAGGTGGGGCTGCCACACATTCCCAGGCTGGGAAGGGGTGTGTCCCAGCGATCAGGCTGCAGCACACAGCTGGGGTTTATGGGATTTACCCAAGATATGGTTGCCACCATCCCGTTCTCATCCACATTACAACGGGTAAACTGAGGCAGTGAGGGACAGCGGGACAGCTCAGCCCAGGCCATGCACAGACTCCCTGCCCTCAGAGGGACCCCCAGTTCTGCCTCCACCCCCTGTCACGGTCCCAGCTTCATCCATGCCGCAGGCACGAAGGCAGGGCTGCATCCATGCATCCCAAGGGTGCATCCATGCATCCCGAGGCTCTCAGCAGCACACGGTACCTCCTTCTCCACGTGCCCCACGTCTGCAAGAGCCTCCTCTTACCACTAAAGATGGGGCTGGAGGGGCAGGGCAGAGACACAGGAGAAAAGAGAATCAGCCCCTGGGCCTCCGCCCACCTGTCCCCATAGTGCCACCGCCCCGAGGGCAGGATGCTCGTGTAGGTCCTGCATAAACACCTGGGCGCCGTCAGAAGGATTTGGGGACAGTCCCCGAGCAGAGGGACCGCGGTGGGGGCTCCCGAGCGTTACCTGAGGCGTAAACACCTGTGGGGCTGCGCGTCCTCCTCATTCCAGCTTGGGGGGGGATGAAGGGATGGAGAGGAGGAAGAGGAGGAGGAAGGTGAGCGGGAGAGGGAGGAGAGAGAGAAGATGAGATGTTATGAGAGGTGGTGGAGATGGGTGGGCTCAGACCCCTGAGGGGGATTCGGTGCTTCCCCTGCCAGGTCCTGGTTGGTTACAGAGCCCAGGGAGGAGCCCCCCAAGCCCCGAACTCACCTGGGGGAGCAGGTGCTGGTGCAGAGGGTTACTGGGGTTAAGAGTATGAATGTGTTTAGGACTAGTGAGAGGTCCATTGCTTTCACTTGGATTTGCACCAAGATGAGCGGCTCCTAAGACCATTGGATTATGGACCAGGTGCTGCTGATCCCCAGCAGGTGCAGGCGCTGCTCATCTCCACACCTGCACACTAAGCCCTGTTGGTGTGGCATCATGGGGGAAACTGAGGCACGAGGCCTCTCCCCACCTAACCCTGGCAGTGTCCTGGGGGGTGGCACACTGGGATCTCCTCTTCAGGCAGAGAGGACAACTGTGCAGAGCAGCCACCAGCAGCAGCAGGGCATCCTTGAGCCCTCCTTTCTCTCCTCATGGGGTCCAGGAGCCCTTCCCAGCCCCAGGCTCTGGGATTTGCTCCTTCCCAGGGTCTGGAATGTGGCTCTATCCTGCCAGGATGGCACCACTGCCCTTGCCAAGGGATTTCCTGCCACTCTCAGTTGCCCTGTGCCACATGAAGAGGGCAGCAAGGTGACCTCACAAAGGTAAAACAGCCCAGAGCATCCCCTGGGATCAAATCTGCTCCTTCTGGAGCTGGAATGGAGCTGAGTGTCAGAACTCAATGCATCCCTCTGGGTGTCCAGAGTTGCCAAGGACCCCATCAGGGCACTTGGAGACCCTGGCACACAGCCCAGAGCACCTGGGGATTTGATTTTCACCCCTGGAGCAAGTTACCAGCTTTGTATGAGAACCTGGAAGTCACAGAGTTTTGAATAGTATAATAATTAAATTATCACAGGGTGAAAATATAGATTTTAGGATTTTTGCTATGGGGGTTATGGGACAAGATGGAGGAACTTGGGCGTGTCCAGCCTTTCTCCTTCTTCTTCTTGCTCTTCATTTTCTGCAGTGGTGTTGGCACTTTGGGATTGGTTTAGAGTAGAGGTGCACTGTCTAACATAGGTGATAGGTATTGGGAATTAAGTGTAAATACGTTATATTATATATATATAAATAGTATAAATATATCTTTATATATGTACTATATATATATTTATATATATATAAATAGATATATATTTATATAAATATATTTTAAATATATATATTTTATAGATATAAAAAAATATATATAAATATATATTATTATATATATTATAAATAGCATAAAAAGACAGCACCACCTCGGGGGTGGTTAGAGTGCCTGTGGCTGCCCTGCTGAGCAGATCTCAGCTGGGCAGAAAAAAATCAATAATTTAATAATAAATAATTAATAAATTAAAAATTAATAATTTAATTAATTATTTCAGGTAAATTAATAATTAAATTAATTCTTTCTATTTTTAATACTATATATATATATATATATATATATATAAATAATAATTTCATTAATAAACAACTTCAAGACCGAAAAGTGAAGAGTCAAGACTTGTTCTTGCCTGGCAGTGACAGTGACATCTCAGGAGGGCACAGAGGAGCAGAGCAGACAGAGCAGAGAGGAGGGAGAACACGGGGGCTGCCCCCTCCTACCTTTCCCCTGCACACACGGCCAGGCTGAAGCTTTTCTGGGCGGGGGTGAAGCAGTGATAGGGTGGTGGGGCTCTCTCAGGCCATTTTTTCACCTCTGAGTTCCTAAATCCTCCGTTGCGGACCCGGTGCAAATGCTCAAATATAAGGACCAGCTCTCTGAGGTCGGGGTGGAATAAAAAACGGGGAGAAATTAAAATTTTCAAAGCAAACGAAACCGGCAAAGCGAGGCTGAGCAGCTCTGGGTCCTCCTGAGCTCAAACCAAAGCAAAACTGGAGCAAAACAAAAGAAAAAAAGCAGCATTTTTGTTCAAAAGATGGTTTCGTAACTGGGGAAGGGTCCTGGGAAGGGATTGAACAGAAGGAAGGGTTGGACGTGCTGAGGGGGATGGATTAGGGAAGGACAAATTGGGGACAGGGTGGGGACATGGGGACCTGTCACCATCAGATCCTGGGCTCCAGCCAGAAGGGGAAAGCTCAGACCTAGCAGGGATGGAATCTGGCTCTGTGTGAATTCCACTGCTCCTGGCACTGCAGGAGGGGCAGCAGAGCCCCCAGAGATCCCCAGGATCCGAGGTGATGCTCGGGAAGCTGGGTGTCATCTCAAACCATGACACTGGGACTCAGGGCTGTGAATATTGTAAGCTCTGCCTTTGGAAAAACTGAGAATGGGACTGAGGGATGGATTTGTCACACGGCCAGAGCAGGGCAGGCAGGAGGGCAGGGATGCTCGCAGGGATGTGGGAAACCCTCAGGATCTGAAAAAAACCTTTGGGAAGCCTTTGATCCATCCACAGTGCAAAATCCCAGGGATCACAGGAGGGATACGCTGCAGGGACGGGACATGGGGCTCCCACAGGATCCCCCGTGCCCACACATGGATCCAGCTCCTGTCCTGCTGCAGCTCCACCACCACAACCGTGGGGTCCCCAAGGCGCCTCCCTATTCCCTGTGCTGCTGGAGGAAGGCTATGGATGGAGTGAGAGGGGATGGGATGGGCGCTGTGAGGATGATGAGGATGAAGGAGGCTCCTTCAGCAGACTCCCATCCTGGGAAGGTGTCGGCGCTGCTCGACCCCACCGAGCTCCTGGGGGTTCCACAAGGTCCCTCCTGGTTTCCCAGGCTGTTCATCCCCACGGGGACCCCCGGGAGCCCCCAGCCCTCACCCCCTCCCGCCTACCTGAAGGCGGGCAGGAGGCTGTCGTAGTAACACCAGGTGGCCGTCAGGTACCCCCGGCTGGCATCGGTGGAGTACAGGCGCCAGGCAGCCTGCAGGGAGCGACATTCCCGGGAATTGGGGTTAATCGGGATGAGAACCCTCCCGGACCCTTCCACCCATCCTGACCAACCCGCAGAATGTCGGTGCTGTGTCACAGACATGTTTTCTGAAAAATCCTTTCCTTAGGGTTTTTCCTCCTGAGAAGCTGAAAGGCCTCAGGAACAAAATGCAAACAATGGTTATCTGCTGCTGTGGGATGCAACAGGTGCATCTGTGATTGGTCTCATGGGGTTGTTTCTAATTAATGGCCAATCACAGTCAGCTGGCTCGGACTGTCTGTCCAAGACACAAGCTTTTGTTATCATTCCTTCTTTTTCTATTCTTAGCCAGCCTTCTGATGAAATCCTTTCTTCTATTCTTTTAGTATAGTTTTAATATAATATATATATATAAAAATGATATATAAAAATATAAATAATGTATATAATATAATATAAATATAATTATAAATATAAAATAATTTATACATTATTTTATTATAAAATAATAAATCCCTAAATAAAAACCAAACAAAATAAATAATAAAATAATTAAAAATAAAGAAATAATAAAATAAGAAATAAATAGTGAAATAAATAATAAAAGAATTGAAAATAATTAATAATAAAATAATAAAATACATAATAAAATAATTTTAAAAATAAATAAATAATAAAATATTTTAAAATAAAAGAAATTTTATAATAAAATATAAAATATAAAATAATAAATAATAAAAGCCCTCTGACACATGGAGTCAGATCCTCATCACTTCCCTCATCCTCGGACCTCTGTGATCACTGTCACAGTGCTGGGTATGGGGCTGGCAGTTTGGATGGGTAGAGCAGAGGAAGGTACAGCAGAGCATTCCCGGGAAGAGCTGGGGTGGGACAGGCCAGCCCTGCCTCACCTGGATCAGGTTGGCAGCTGGAGTCCTCCTCTTCTCAAAGTGCTTCTGCCGATGCTGCTCCTGCACCTTGAGGGCGAATCCGGAGCCCAGGATCCCCTGGGGACAGGAGGGGACAGAGCCATGAGTGCCACCACAGCCTGGACCCCACACAGAGGGTGCTGTACCCCTTTTCCCCCCTGTTTTGAGCTCTCCCAGCCCTACTCACAGCGGGCAGGGCGAAGAAGGAGATGCCGAGCAGGGCGAATCCGGCTGCCAGCATCCGGCCCAGCCACGTCTGCGGCGCTTTGTCCCCGTAGCCAATGGTGGTCAGGGTGACCTGCCCAGGGGCACAGCAGCGGGGGGCCTGCAGGGCGCTCCCCCAGCACGGCCCCGTCCCCTCCTGTCCCCGGGGAGCCACGGGGGCCGAGCTTACCGTGCCCCACCACAGGGAATCGGCGTAGGTGGCGAACTGCACGTTGGCGTCCTTCTCGGCCAGGTAGACGAGGAAGGAGGCGAAGATGAGCACCAGGAAGCCGATGTACCAGGCGGTGATGAGCTCCTGCGGGGCATGGTGAGGCTCAGGGGGTGTTCCTGGGTGGTTTTTTGCTGTATTGTGCTAAATTGTTCTTTAGTTGTTTGTTTTGTGCTGGGCAGATCGGAGATTTGTGCAGAGTGGTCTTTATATTGCACTGAATTTTATGTTATGTTTGTAAGTTTATGTTATATCACAGGTGTGGCAGTCACCTCTCCTTTCCCCTCCCAGCACTGCCTGTCAGTCCTGGAATTCCAGTGATTGAAAGATTCGAAGGATGCCCTCTACCCCTGGGGGCATTGGGCCATCCAGGTGTCCTTGTCCCTTTGTCCCTCCCCTCCTGTCCCTGCTCGGTGGCTCCCTGCCCCTTCCCTGCCCCTCTCCCCGGGGTTCAAAGGAGCAGCAACCACGGGCTCAGGGAGTTCTGTTGGAGCTGCTGCTGCATTCAGAGGCCTGTGGGCCAGAATAAAGCTCTGGATCCAAACCCTCCATCAGAACCGACTCCTTTCCTTCACCATCGCCTCAAAGCTTCTCTGCCAGAGGGAAACCTGAGGAGCAGCCCCTGTTATGGGGGGAAGCTCCATCCCAGCACCACCAGAGCTCCTGCAGGCCTGGACTTGTCTGCATGGGCCCAGCTGCAGCACCCAGCCAGCCCAAAGTGTCTGTGGGGTGAAACACCACACAACCAGCCAGCCCAAAGTGTCTGTGGGGTGAAACAACACGCACCCAGCCAGCCCAAAGTGTCTGTGGGGTGAAACACCACATCGAACCACCCAAAAGTGTCTGTGGGGTGAAACACCACATCGAACCACCCAAGAGTGTCTGAGGGGTGAAGCACCACATTGAATCAGCCAAAAGTGTCTGTGGGGTGAAACACCACACACCCAGCCAGCCTAAAGCGTCTGAGGGGTGAAACACCACACACCCGGGCAGCCCAAAATGTCTGTGGGGTGAAACACCATACACCCAGCCAGCCGAAAGTCCGCAATATTGGTAACAAAAATATTTTACAGTTGTTCTCACCTTGCTGTGGGCGTAGACGACGGAGCCCAGCAGCTTCCAGGTGCCACCACGGCGGTCCATGCGCACCATGCGCAGGATCTGCAGGAAGCGCATGCTGCGCAGCGCCGACGTGGCAAAGATGTTGCCCTGCGTGCCCGCGGCGATGACGGCCACCGAGGCGATGAAGACGATGAAATCTGAGGGGACAAAGAGGCTCAGGGGACGCTGGGGGTTGTCCTGAATTTGGCTCATAAAAATCAAAGCTGTCATGTTGTAGTAATGTGTTGTATCGTTGATTTATTATTGTGAAGTTGTCGTGTTTCCCATGGAAAATGGCCTCCGTTCGCGTTTGCGACCACTGGTCCTCACTGACAGGGTGGTGCCAAGCTAGAAATTTGCAAACTTTTCTGGATTTCTCCAAAACTAAAGCTGCCAGCAGCCAGGACCCAGCAAGTCCTTAGAGCCCCAAACATCACCTTTAATCTGGTACCCTGATTGTGGGGTAATGACTCTTTTTCCCATGGAAAATGGCCTCTGTTTGTGGCCACTCGCCCTGGCGGACAGGGTGGTGCCAAGCTAGAAATTTGCAAACTTTTCTGGATTCCTCTAAAACTAAAGCTGCCAGCAACTAGGACCCTGAAAGTCCTTACAGCCCCAACCACCTTCAATCTGAGACCCAGACCCTGAGGAAATTATTTTTTTTTCCCATGGAAAATGGTCTCCATTTGCAACCACTTGTCCTCGCAGACAGGGCGGTGCCAAGCTTTGGTGCCAAAAAGGTTGCAAACTTTCCTGAATTTCTCCAAAACTAAAGCTGCCAGCAACTAGGACCCACCAAGTCCTTACAGCCCCAAACACCGCCTTTCATCTGATACCCAGACCCTGGGGAAATTACTTCTTTTCCCCATGGAAAATTGCCTCTGTTTGTGGTCACTCCCATTGGCAGACCGCGTGGTGCCAAGCTCGAAATTGGCAAACTTTGCTGGATTTCTCTAAAACTAAAGCTACCAGCAGCTAGGACCCTGAAAGTCCTTACAGCCCCAAATTCCACCTTTAATATGACACCCAAACCCAATGGAAATGATTTTTTTTTGGTACCTATCACGCAGAAGGGTTTCCTGGCGAAGCGGAAGCGCCCGCGCCAGCCGCGGTAGCGGCAGCAGCAGCCAGCGGCCCACACGCGGATGATGTACTCCATGCCGAACACCACGATCATCACAAACTCCTGTTGGGGGAAAAAAGGTGAAAAAAGGGGGAAAAAGGGGAAAAAAGGGGAAAAAAGGGGGTAGGGAGAGTGGAGGGCTCAGATTTGATGGGGAAAAGTGGATCGGGCTGAGCGCAGCGCGGGGTGGCCGCAGTAAGGCCGGCGGAGCTGCCCCAAGGGATGAGGGTGATGAGACGGAGCTGCCGGGGCTCTGAGGGAATTGCTGCTCTCCTCCTCACCCCGAGCTGGGTCCTTTTCCTCCTCTGTCAGCATTGTCCTCCTACCTCTCGCACAAACAAGCCCCCGTTCTGCTTACTCGCAGGAAAAGTCACAAGGACCTTCCCAATTTAGTCTCCGTCACTTGGGAGAAGTCCCTGCGTCAGCTCTTTGTGACAGTTTGGGGGAAAGTTGCCTTTTTTAACCCCTCGTGCCCTGCCTGTTCCAGCGGTTTTCGCACAGATTGGGACAATGGTGGGATGGAGAGACAATGGTGGGATGGGCCCTGGTGACACCCATGGCCAGGCCACTCCCGCAGTGCCATCGGGCCATCAGCGACTTCACGGGCTCTGCCCGCGATTTTACCCAATTATTTTAAGGTATAAAGTGGGGAAAAGAAATCCGAGCAGTAGCCCTGCTCCTGCATCACTCACCAGGATGAAGAGGCACTCGTTGGCCAATTTCTGGTGCTCCTGGATGGTGGAGAAGACCGACAGCACCAGGCAGCTGAAGACGAGGAGGAATCTGGAAGCACAAAGTGTCAGTGGGGGCACAGGGACAGCCAAGAGACCCCACCCCACAGTGCTACCCCCCTCTCACAGCCTGAACCCCCCAATCAAGACCTCCCCAGGTCGTGGCAGAGCCACTGGGGACACGTTTTGCCTCTAGATGGTGGCATGGAGCCTTTGGGGAGCCCGGGAACTGCCGTGGGGCTTGGTGCCAGCTCTGGCGCAGCCCTGCAGCTTCTTAATTAAAGGCAGGGAGGGACACGGGGGTCCGGCATTGTGCAGGGTTCTGGTGCTGCAGGAAGGGCACCAGAGCTGCTCAGGACTGTCCCCAGCATCACTGCCACCATGGGGACATGCCAGCTACACCTGGGAAGTGTCAACCCAGGGGAAAATTCCCCAGGAGCAGCTCTGAGGCTGCTCCTCCCCGAGCGCTCAGGCACGAGGGGCTTTGGCCCATTTAAAGTAAGGAGGGGAATTAAAATTAAAAAAAAAAAGAAAAAAAAAAGAAAAGGAAAAAAAGAAAGTCGACTCTGAAGCTGGAGCAAATGAAACCTCCAAAAATACATTTTTTTCCCCTGATCCAGCGATTCTAAAAAAGGAAAGCGGAGGGCTTGTGCCACCGGCCCACGTGACACAAAGGGCCACTCGCTGCTCCGTCACCACTGCTCTGGGATGGCACCAGGGACCATGGGCACACCGCAATGGGTGGCACCAGGAACCATGGGCGCACCTCAATGGGTGGCACCGGGGAACATGGGCACACCATGCTGGGTGGCATCAGAGACCATGGGCACCTTGCTCTGGGTGGCACTGGGGACCGTGGGCACACCAGGGACCACAGGCACACCAGGGACCATGGTCACACCACCATGGATGGCACCAGGGACCATGGGCACACCGCCCTGGGTGGCACAGCCTGGCTTAGCCCTGGTGGCCCTGGCACCTTGGTGGCACCCATCTCAGCCCCATGGCTGTGTCCTCATGGTGACAATGCCCTTGGGCCACCAGGGGTGGATGAACCATCCCCAAAACAACAATGAAAACCCAATGGGGAAGGAGAAATCTCCTCAATTCATCCAGGGGCTGTGAGGGTCTCATTTCCCCCTCAGAAGGACGTTCCCACCTCTTTGTGTTGTTGATGTTGATGGGATTTTTTGGCCAGAACCAGGGTGAATCCTGTCCCAGCTGTCCCAGTGTCACCAGGGGGACACAGCAGAGAGGGGACAATGCTCTGTGTCCCTCAGTGGGACCATCCAGGACCCCTCCTCACTGACCCCACAGCCCCGTGTGGGGCTGGGGGCTCCCAAACCCAGCCCTGCCATGAGAGGCATGAGGGTGGCACAGCATAAATGGGACCTTTTCAGGGTCCTTTTCCCCAAAATGCTGCTGGAGGTGTGACTGACAGCCAAAAAACCCTCAGGAATGGGAGAAGGGCTGGATGCAGAGCAGGGAGGAGGCAGAGCTGGAGCCAGGGGTGTCACAGCCGTGTCACCACCCTGTCCTCCCCGCACTGCTGCTCTCCCAGGCAAGGCAGAAGGTTGGAGCCAGCTTCTTCTCCCTCTGAATTATTAATTGGGGTTATTTTCCTCCAGCACAGCAGTTCTGGAGTGAAACCCCACAGGGAACAGCAGCACCCCCGTGGCACGGGCAGGAGGTGCCAGGAGGAGCAAAACACGGCTCAGAGCTCAGAGCTTGGTGCATCATCAGCAAGAAAAGATTATCCAGGCAGGATTTAGCAGGCAATTACACGGGCAGCCAAGCACAAAGCAGAGGAGAAGGCAGAAATCTCGCGGGCTGCAAAAGATTTGTGCCCCTTGTGCAAAGAAAGATTTGTGCCCCTTCTGCAAAGATTTGTGCCCGTTGTGCAAAAATTTGTGCCCCTTTTACAAAGATTTGTGCTCCTTTTTCAAAGATTTGTGTCCCTTTTGCAAAGATTTGTGCCCCTTCTGCAAAGCAAGATTTGTGCCCCTTGCCTCATGCACACGTGGGGACTTTGCTGTGGGTGGCTCTGGCTCTGGAGCACCACCGGGATGGGATGGGGAAACCTCTCAGCCGCATCCTGTGGGATTTGGGGAAGGATCCAGGCAGGAGAGGCCTCACGGGGCTGGCTGGGAAAGGAACTTTCTGGGAACGCATCACCTGCTAGGAATTAACTCGCAAAGCCCAGGCAAACGCCCCGTCCCGGCTGCCGGCGGCGCTTAAGCGGCTTAGGGAAGGGTCAGATGGCTGAAGGCAGCGAGGGGAGCCAGGAACCAGCATCCCCCATCCCTGCCGGGCAGGAATTCCGCTGTACCAAACACCCAGAGGGGTTTTACACCCTCAGCCCTGCACTGACACTGGCAGGGCTGTCCTGGTCCCCACTTTCCCAAATCCCTGGGGGTGACACCAGCCCTGGCAGGGTGATCTTGATCCCTGCTTTCCCAAACCCCTGGGGTTGGCATGATGGTGACACCAACCCCATCAGGGCAGTCCTAGTCCCAATTTGCTCTCAACCCAGGATTGGCATGGGGATGGCACCAGCCCTGGCAGGGCTGTCCCAGTCTCACTTTGCCCTCAAGCTGTGATTGGCACGAGGGTGGCACCAACTCCTCGCAGGGCTGTCCCTGTCCCTGCTCTGCCCTTGCCATGGGACTGGCATGGGGATGACACTGGCCTTGGCAGGGCTGTCCTGGTCCCCAGTTTCCCAAACCGCCGGGGTTGGCATGAGGGTGACAACAACCCCATCAGGACTGTCCTGGTCCCCATTTTCCCAAACCCCCCTGGGGACCAGCTCCCATCCCAGCTCGCTGCTCTTCCCACCCTCCAAGAGAAGCTGGAAAAGTCAGGAATGCTGGCAGGGGAATGGGGATGGGGCAAAAAGAGAGGGACAGGAGTTCCAGAGCGTCCCCAGAGCAGAGGCTGAGCTGGTTCTTCACCTGTCCTGAATAAAATTCCCACCTCCAGCCCCCTCCCTGCAGGATCCCCTCCCTTTCCCAGCATGGGCACAGGGACAGGACCCAGCAGGAGCAGTGAAACCTCCCCAAAACAATAATGAAAACCCGGCGGGGAAGGTGAAATCTCCTCAATTAATCTTCATTAGGGTGGGCTCTGCCATCTGCTGCCTCCCGAGCCGGCCCAGGAACAGGTGAGCAGGGAAAGCTGCTGAGCTCAGGGATAGCAGGGCCAAGTTGGGCTCCCTGCATGGGCAGGCGGGCACCACTTGGCTCCCAGTGCCCCCAAAACACGGCTGGGCAAAGGGGCTGCACCCCAAAACAGCCTGGGATGAGACAAAGGAGCAGGATCCTTGGAGTTTGTGGGGTGGGATGGGGATGGGACAGCCCAGCATCCTGGCAGGATTCATCCCCAAATCCCTGGGGTTGGCACAGGGGTGACACCAGCCCTGGCAGAGCTGTCCTGGTCCTGCTTTGTCTTTGCCCCAGGATTGGCATGGGGGTGACACCAACCCCATCAGGGCTGTCCCAGTCCCACTTTTCCCACTTTGCCATCAACCCGGGATTGGCACGGGGGTGACATGGACACTGGCAGGGCTGTCCCTGTCCCCACTTTCCCAAATCCCTGGGGTTGGCATGGGGATGGCACCAACCCCGTCAGGCACAGATCCTGGTCCCTGCTTTGCCCAAACCTCCAAGACTGGCACGGGGATGACACTGACAGGGCTGTCTCAGTCCCTGCTTTCCCAAATCCTCAGGGTTGGCACAGAAGTGACACCAGCACTGGCAGAGCTGTCCTGGTCCCTATTTTCCCAAAGCACCGGCCCTGGCATGTCGGTCCTGGTCCCTGCTTTGCCCAAACCCCTAAGACTGGCACGGGGGTTACACCAGCACTGGCAGGGCTTTCCTGGTCCCTTTGCCCTCACCCCAGGGTTGGCACGGGAATGGCACTGACCCTGGCAAGGCTGTCCTGGTCCCTGCTTTCCCAAATCTCTGGAATTGGCACTGGGGTGACACCAGCCCTGTCCTGGTCCTGCTTTGCCCTTGCCCCAGGGTTGGCACAGGGCTGGCACCAGCACTGACAGTGCTATCCTGGTCCCTGCTCTGCCCAAACCCCCGGGGCTGGCACGGAGGTGGCACCAACCCTGGCAGGGCTGTTCTGGTCCTGCTTTGCCTTGCCCCTGGAACTGGCATGGGGGTGGCACCAGCCCTATCCCGGCCCCGCTTTGCCCTCGGCCCGCGGGGATGCCCCGGGCAGGGGCGCAGGCAGCGATAACAGCCCAAGGCAAACACCATCCCGAACAGCTCCGCCGCGGGATGAGCGATCAAAGCGGCCCCAGAAAGGCACAGATCCCTTCCCTGGCACCATCACAGCGCCTAAACCCTACCCTCCAGCTGTGCCACCGCTGGAAATTCGGGATTTCAACCAAAACTGCCCGCGCACAGCTCCAGCAGGGATGGCGACGGCGTTTCACCCTCCCGGCTCCCCAGGCCGCCAGGTTCAGCTCGGTCTGCAGCTGTATAAACAGCACAAGGCATAAATCCCCGTCTCTCGGCCCCGCAGCCCTGCAGGAGAGGTGGAGCGGGCGGATATAAATAACCGGGCTGTGGCGGCCCTGTTTGCGCCCGTAACCATGGCACGGAGCGGCCCACGCCGCCCAGAAGAGAAGCAGAAAAGCTCCGGGAGTGTTTCCCCACGGGGAGAGGCGCAGCAGAGCCCGGCACACGCTCAGAGCGCGGCCCCTAGGCGTTATCAGAGTTGTTATCAAGAGGGTGATGCTCACAGAACCCCAGGGAAGAGGCAGCACGGGAGGTACCCCGAGATGTTATCAGAGCTGTTATCAGGAGGGTGATGCTCACAAAGCCCCAGGGATGTCCCCCAAGGCGATTATCAGGAGGGTGCTGCTCTCAGAGCCCCTCAGTCCCAGTGGAGAGATAGCACGGGATGTTCCCCGAGATGTTATCAGAGCTGTTATCAGGAAAGCGATGCACCCAGATCCTAGGGAAAAGGCAGCACTGGATGTCCCCTGTCCCCTGAGATGTTATCAGAGCTGTTATCAAGAGGATGATGCTCCCAGATCCCAGG